TATTTCAACCCTTAGTCCACTCTGTGTTGTTCTTTCAAGAATTTAATCAGGAACTTTGCTGAAACATGGCTGGCTAAGCCTGGGAATCTGGATTGACCTAGAGTTACATTGTCTACACCAGTGCTACACCAGTACTGTGAACCATGTGTGGTTGTTTAGATGTGGCTTAATTAAAACTGAATAGAAGTCGGACAGCTCCCTTCTGATGCTTGATAAGCACATGTAAGTACTATGTCATGTCGGACAGTGCAGACAAGCACTGCCATCACTGAGGAAGGCCCTGTTGGGCATCACTGCCCTGGAAATCACCTTCTCCCTCCTGGAACTTCCTCTTCCATTTGGGAAGGAAGTTGTCACCTAGCAGTGGAAGGGGGACTGTGAACTCTTGATCTCACCTGTCATCAAAGGACCTCAAGAACCCTATGTGACAAAGTATGAAAAAAACTTTTAGGAAGGGATCGTAGTGATATATGAAGAAATTCATGGGCAGTTATAGGAACTAAAATAACATACAAATAATCTTATGTATGTATTAATTTATATAAATCTTGTGTATATATTAATTTATATATTAATTTTAGCCATCCTGCAAAGTATTCAATTCTACTATGACATTTTTACATGTATTATATAGCCCATACCTCCTCCCCACTCTTATGTGTATGTGCATGAGTGTGTGTGTGTGTGTGTGTGTGTGTGTGTAATTCAAAGTTGTGAAAGCATCTATCTGGCCATTTCTCAACTATGTAAATAAAGATAATCTCTTTCATTCATTTTTATACCACCTACATTATTGTTATATTTAGCCCCAAATCTTTTGATAATTAGGAAAGCAAGTTTGTTTTTAGAAAGAAAAACTTGCCAAACTTGAGACTAGGAGGAATGAGTCAAGTTTCCTTGATCTTTTAGATGTTTCACTTTAAACAAAATGAGATGACTTTTACGTCCACCCTCTTCCATTCTTGGAAGTGAAATAACTTGTTAAAAAAAAAAGAGGGGTGGTGTTTGTAAGTAACTGTGATAGCTAATATTTCTTGTCAGCTTGTGTTGGTTTCTGTGTCCCCATCCATTATCAGTCCTCAATGGCAGGGACTGGCTCCTGGTCCTTTGGTCTCTCCAGCTGTTCTTGAACTAGCAGTTGATAACCATTACTAACTGACTGCCTGACAGATTGGCTGACCTTGCCATCGCTCTCAGATTTTATGCACACAAAATGTGTTAACATCTTGCCTCATTTTGCTTTGGGTCTGAGAAGTCATGTTCTTTCCAAATTTGCTGTTTGAAAACCATCCACTGGAATACAGGAACCATTCATCTGAAAAAGAGTTGGCCTTTCTCTAGGATTGCATGTGTGACAAGATCCTAATGGAATTTTTTTTTTTTTAATTTTGTTACTTTTACGGAAATTGCACTGGGTAGAGAACATGTTAAAATTCTTTGGTTTGACTTAGCACCACCACCCAAGCAGTGTATTCGGTATCTCTGTTGGAGCTACCCGAAGTGGGTAGGGTGCAGTTAATGAAGAAGAGTCTCCTTTCCCTGGCTAGCTATTAGAGTAATTAAACATGCTTGTAGGGACATTCTGTTTTTGATAAGTTCTCCAATCAGGCACAGTCCCCAGGCAGGAACTCTAGACTCCTTGGCTCCTTCCTTCCTTAGGTCCTACCTGGGAGATAAAAGCCCAGAATCCAGTGTGGATTATCACTAGGTATATTTTGCTTTATCACAGACCTTTTAAACTTGTACACATCACAACACCAGAATACAGTTGGAAGCGTGTGACATTTCCGCTGCCTCTCAGAAACAGGAGGGGAGATTCAGAAAAAGAATGAATTAGTTTTCACAAAAGGCCAGTGAGTGTCTCTGCGGTTGTACCTGAATGATTGATGTCCCTGTTTAGAGAGCTGTGGGAGTTCAGTGAAAAATGGCTTCTCTTCTTGGAAGGGTAATGTTACACTGAGGAGTGATAGGCGGGGATTTATGGGTGACAAATCTGAACAGAGCCAGCATGGATCTGTAGATAGCAAATGTCTGCTTTGCTCAGTAAGGAGGCATTGCATTCCAATAGAGCATGGTAATCATTTCTTCCTGATGGACCCATACTGCTTTTACATGTGCCTGCCTATGGGGACCCAAAGTCAAGCTCTGTCAAAAGGATGACCCAAACTGACAGATCCAATTTCTGGTTCTTTGAAATCACTTAGACTTGTTGTTCTGGGCCCACTGCGGTGAATGAAGAAGTCCTGGTACATATTAGCTCCTGAAATGTCTGGGAACCATAGCTTGTTTCTCCTGTGAGCCTATGATGTTCCATTTTCTTCAACTTGTGATATGCTTTCAAGATTATAATAACTCGATCGTCATTCCATACTGGGGCTTACTGCCTACAGTTACGTCCATTCTTACATTTGTTTATTGAAGGACATCTTGCCTTTTGGGGAATTTAATTTCCCATAATCAAATTTAGCTTATTTTTGAGAACTGTATTTTCATGGTAAAATTATTTTACTTATAATTTTGCCTATTTTGCAAATACATATATAAATTATATTATTAAAATATAGAGAACATCATTATATGCTATGTAGACGCTAACTTGTATAATTTTTATAATTGCTCAGTGTAAGATCATCACTACCATTAACCCCATTTTACATTTTACAGGTTAAGACACTGAGACACCAAGACTATGCAGTTGGTATATATTGTAGTGAGGATTTGAACCCAGGCAGACAGACTCCAGAATACTCACTACTATTAAAGTCTGGACAGAAATAGAACAAAAAGACAACCACAGATAAAAGTATTTTGTTGTGTTCATCCTATGCTTAGACCTTCACAAGCTGATCTTTCAAAAACTATTAATTTTGCGTCTTGCCTTTTTAAAAAAGAGACCAAACTGAATGGTGGTGTTCGGGTGCCTGGCGGCACTGTTGGAGGGCTGGCCAGTTCTCCCATCAGGGAAGTGTAGCTTTCTGTGCTCTACCCTTCCCTGACGCTGGACCGTTTGACCTCTGGTTGTGTCATCGTTTGTGTGTAATGACTGTCTCAGCAGAACATGCTCTTCAGAATAGTTTCCTCAGGTTGCTCATTCTCAGAGGTAAAACTGAGGTTCAGAGGAGTAAACCCAGGGTATACTTCTAGTTCGAGGTAGTCAGACACTTGTCCAAGGATTTGGAAAAGAGAATCTACTTTTCCCAATGTCTATAAAACTAAGCAGAGTACCTTCTTCTTCAGCCCCAAGGAGAGACCTTTGCCAGTATAATACATAGAATATGAAATGGCATTGTTATTTTAATGTCTGTTTCTTGGTTATTTGGGGAGTTGACTTCTTCATTCTGGTCAGTTACTTGAGTATGTGAGAGCGATCTGTTTGGATCTTTCTTTGCCTGTCGCATTTAAAAGCATACAGAGCCATTGGGAATCAAGAACAGAAGTCATTACTTCATTTTCCTCTCTGCTTAGATAAGGGATGTTCATAGACATCTTAGTCTATGAACTGTAATGATGCTGCAATGATCCTTTGCCTTTCCCCAACCTTACATGAAGGTTTTCTGTGGAGTCTATATAACATGGATTGTTACCCACTTAGAAAGAATTGCACTCCGGTGGGAACGTGCCCTGAACAGAAATCTGCATTTGGTCTCTGTCTAACTTCGTAAGCTCCTGGAGGGTGGGGTCTGTGTCTTTAGGAACAGTGAAGCTCATGTTTAGTGCTGTTTACAGCAACTGTAGGCTAGCCCTCCGCCATGGGGAGCCAGGCATGTCCTCGGTAGCTTAAGGTTCCAAGTGAGCCTTGAGAAGAATGTATTTGAAGTAGGGTGCATGTACCCAGTTCCCCTGGTTTTAAAGAGAGCGAAGACGAACCAAATAGCCCCACCCTTCCTCATTGAGAGAGTCTCAATAAAGCTTTCCAGTCTTAAGAAGAGATGGCTGTAATGGTGGAAGACATTCGAGACCGGGATTCCAAAGTTGTGTGAGCTAGTTCTGTCTTCTCCATCAGTTAGTGTTTGCAGAGGAATCCTAGGGCGCTTCCTCTAGTAATCCCCTCATTTTCCCCATTAAAAACAGACTAGTAATATCAATAGTGACTGACATTTCTAAAGCACTTTAAAACATTATCAGCTTGCTTCCTTAGCCAGTGACTAGTCAGTCTACACAATAGCCCTGTGCAGCAGACAATGGCCTCACATTGTACAGCTGAGGAACCACACAATGGAAAGCAGCAGCGGGGCCTCCGCTCCCCCATCAATAGAGTGTGGAATGAAGATTGCATTATGATGTTTTTAAAAGCACATTACACGCTCAGGAAGTAATCCATTGATACACATTATCATGAAGCCAAGAGAGACAGGGGGAAAGTGAGGAATCGGGAGGATGGAGAGGATCATAGGAAAGGACCACGTGGGAACGCAAAGAAAAATGCCATTGAATAAGAGCAGAAATGGAGGGGAGAGATGAAATATGACTATCAATTGGTTGGTTGAGATTTTCAAGCATTGGGATGTCTTTCCTCATTTCTTTCATCCTAGTATTTTTTGCGTCCAGTTTCCCTGTGACTGGGAGGATCAGAACAGTAATAGTAACATAGAATCCAGTACACCCAGCTGTGGGGCACTAGGAACCTGTTTGAAACCACAGGGAGATGGAAGTGTTAGAAAGATGGATAGATTGGTCTATGCTAGGTTTTGTTTGTGTTTATGCTGTGTATGACTAAGGGCCTTCTGTGGGGTTTTGGTCAAATGTGGAAATGGACTGAAATGTAGGATACAGAAGTTAAGATACTTGCACATCCCAGTGAAAGAGACTGGGATGAGAACCTTTCTCCCTAAAATGGTCACAAGCCAGCAAGCCTTGAATGCAGCTCATCCAAACACTTTGTTTAGAAGACATCTCAGGATGCAGAGGCATTTTGTCAAATCAGTATGACTCAGTGAGGTTCTTCCTGGATAGGGATGGTTTCTGCCTTGAAATAGCTCATTGCCATGCTTGTATTTCAGGATTTTATGGCCAGCTGCAGACATTCTGCCCCCCGCATTACCCTGATTCCCAGAGAACTGTGCCACCCAGCAGCTCCTGCAGTATGGTGCCTTCCTTTGAGGACTGCCTGGTCCCCACGTCCATGGGTCAGGCTGGCTTTGATGTTTTCCATAGAGCCTTCTCAACACACTCAGGCATTACAGGTGGGTGTCTGTGACTTAGTCAACAAGAAGGGAAGCTGGGTGCTTTTCTTGTGGCTGGCAGGGACTATGTGGAATCTAGTAGAACTCTCCCTGAGATACTTTTCATCATCACCTTCTGCCCTGGCTCTTACCCTTTGCCCACCCGCACAAGGGCCAACATTTCTCCCCTAGACTATGGCACTTCCTTCTAGTATGCCTCCCCAGTTCACCACCTCACCTTTGCCTTTCTCCACACTTGGCGTTGCTTGCTAACCCCGTGATAAATTATGCCACTTTCTTGCTAGGATATCTTAGTATCCAGTCTCATCCATTCTCAAGCTGTCTTCTCTGGCACAGTAGTGAGGCCCTCAGGATTTTACTGTGTCAAGTTCTCCAGACCTGCCTGCACAGACTTGGCCTTCATTTTACCCTTATTCTGGCTTATACTCAACTTTCCTGATTCCACGTGTCCCTTCATCTCTGCCTTAGCTCTGTTTATTCCTTCTGGAATATTCTTTCCTGACTTTACCATCTGTAACTCCCATTCTTTCTCATGACTCAACTTTACCGTTGTCCCTTTTCTGAGGTCACCCTAATTCCTTGCTCAACCACTTTTGACTTCGGCTAAGGTCATATTTTGTGTTAAAGCACATCCATGCAAACCAGTACCTTCCCTCCTTCTGTTCCTCAAGGGCACGCCTAGAAGGCCTAAGCCTTAGCTCCCACCAGCATCTGTAGGCTGGGAGCATCTGTAGGCTGGGAGCATCTGTAGGCAGCGTGGGGGTGCTGTGTAGCCAGTACAGGCACTGACTGACGGCCTGTGTTCTTTCTCTTCCAGTGTACGATTTGCCTTCAGCTTCTTCAAGCCTCTTTGGGGAAGCTCTTCGCAGTGGCCCCGAAGATCCCACATTCTTGCAGCTCAGCGCCGTGGACCGTTGTCCTAGCCAGCTCTCCTCTGTGTATACTGAAGGCTGAAGGCTCCCCGGGTCTCCCCTGCACATCCAGGACCTTTGAGTCACCTCTCATCTTCATACTCTGACAAGCAGTGTGAGGATGCCAACCAAATCTGTGGAGCCAGTGCGGTCACCAGGTCTTTGGAAGGCAGGACTGGATGGTCATCGGATCTGGCTTTTTGGGAAAGCTTGCACCTCTTCCGTTTTCCCTCAATTGGCTGGGCCAGGTGACATGCAGGAATTTCTTTTCAAAGGGAATTTAGAGTCTCACTTTAAAGATACCTGTTCCTTCCTGGCTGTCAGCTCTCAAAAGACACCAATGAATGTGCACATGAATGGGATGACCCTTACTCAAGACTTAAGGGGAAGACTGTCCAGTTACCAGAGGCAGAATGTGCTGTCTCGCCCATGTTTTCCCTCATGGCTGAGTGATGCACAGCCATAAACAGTGTGGGAAATCCATGTCCAAAGCAGGTGTGGCTTGGACTCTCTCAGACTCTGGCTTTAACATTTGTCTTGCATAGACCATGCTAACTATTGCTTCTCCATTGATGATCCTCCAATGGCAAGATAAGGTTTTATATTTGGCAACTTACTTTGTTTTTGAACTTCAAAGACTTGCTTTTTACATCTACTTTTAAAGGAAACGTATTTAAAGGTTTGTTCTTTTGGTATAAGTCATTACCGTTTTAATCACCCCAGCTACATGTATTTTACCCCAGCTGGAGCTCTTTCTGGCCTAATTTTGCAGTGTAGCAAAGGTTATCTGAGGGAAACAGAATAGTACACACACACACACACACACACCTCTCCCTGCCTCCCTCCAGGATTGTTGCAAAAACCCTTCAGTCCTGTGTATGGTGGTATATACCTCTAACCCCAGCACTTGGAAGGCATTCTGAGTTTGAAATGAGCCTGGTCTACACAGTGAGTTCCAGATCAGCCAGGGCTATATATTGAGACCATCTTAAAAAAATAATCACTCTCCTGTATTGATGTCTCAGTGACTCCAGCTTGAAAAATGTTTCATTTGAATGGTTCATATATTGGCTCAGCTCTGGTTGTGTGCCCAGGATAGACTGGGAACCATGAGAGATGGGACGCATTGAGTCATGTATGTAGCTTTGTTCAGGAAACCAAACCAAGGGCACCTGTTGTCCGGTTACTCTGTGTGCCTTCTGCCTGGTTCCTTACAGGGATCCCCTCATCTGTCTGTCTCCTCTGCTCCCCTCCCCATTTTCCTGTTTCCCCATCCTTTCTTCCTCCTTCCAAACAGTGTTTCACACATACCAACTATTCACCAAATCCTAGCAACTCTTGGGAAGGTTCACAGAAGGTAGGCTCAAGAAAGCAGCTTTTTGGAACTCTGCTTTGAAGGCCTGGAATTTTTCAAAAAGCACACAGCCATTTTATGTTAAGTCTAAACAAGACATCATTTTCTGGTGATATTTTTAGAAGGGTACTTAAAAAGATGCTCTGTCCTAGGGCAAAGGCTATACAAATAAGCCAAACTCCAAAAAGCTAGTCAATTCCAACAATCTAGTTCGCTCACATTTCAGGATTTTTTTTTCTCCTTAAAAAATGCTTTTTTAGCAGAACTGAAGCTGAGTGCTTTCTGAAACTGAAGTCACTGTGACCTTAAATAGCTTGGTGTCTGAGGGTCATGAGACTGCTTATACCCTAATACAGACCTGTGAGTCTGGCCCCAAGTCAGAAGAGTTCCACCTCATCCCCTGCTTCATTCCAGGATGCCACTGAATGGGGAAGATACAGAATCCAGTGTGGGTTCAGTCTCACAGCACTCGGTCTGGTGCTGCTGAAGAGGCCATGTTCTTGAGGGGAACTATTGCGTAGACGTCTAAGTCACAAGACTTTGAATTCTAGGTCTTCTGAGCTTTAAGGAAGGAAGCTCATCGGCCTTCCTCCCCAGGTGAGCTCTCACGCTGCTGGACACTACCGCCCTTGTAGACCTGGGGGTCATTAGACTTGGGCTGATCCTGAACACATACATGTCAACACACTGGCTTATTTGATAGTGACCCTCATTTGACCCCTGTCACCCTCTAAAAAGAAAAGGAGACCCCACTCTCAAGAGCAGCATATATCAGTTCCTAAACCCTCAAGCTTTTACAAGACACTCCAAGCACATTTCATTTGGGTGATAAGGAAAGAAGAGGGGAAAGGTAGTTGATTGACCTTATGGAGTTCTAGAAGGAGGAGGAGAGTCATAGAAGGGAATAGAAACACAGGACCATGTATGACATCTCTCCCTGTGGTGGAGACGTCAGGCTTACGAACCAGGCTCTGGACTCATGGTGGCGCTGTTCCTTTCCTGAATCACCTAGGAGGACCTGGTGTCATCAAGTCCTTATTACTAGACCATACATCCCAGCCCCAGCCCCAGCCCCAGCCCCACAGCCTGCCCCAGAAGGACAGGTCCAGTGCGGCCCCTCCCCCACCAAAGGCCCTGAGTGTATTCCTGACAGACACTGGTCTGGGGGCCAGGGCCTCGTGACATGGCACGTTCAGGGTCCTTCAGAGTGTACAAGCTGTCTATCCTTGGGTTCTGGAATTTCTCCTTAGCTTAAAATATGCCCCTTTCTTACTGTGGCCTACATAGTTCCATCAGTATTTTTAAGCAGTGAAAAATAGAGCTTAAAAAACATAAATTATTCCCTTCCATTCCTAGGCCTTTCTAGCCCTGATGGGTAGCCATTTTCATAAACATCCAAATGGAAATTGTCATTCCCCTTTAAAAACAAAAACACAACAACAATAAAAACTAGTGCTTATGAAAACATGCGTAGCACAAATCCAATTATCCTATTACATAGAAAAGATGAGCATGCCTAGAGACATTTCGTTGCTCCATCCATTGCCGTAGCTCCCTAAAGGGACAGCAATCAAAGTGGCACTTGTAATTGACCCTCTGATCAGCACTTAAACACTGGGTAAGAATTCCATGGCCCCGTGAAGCATAGTCCCTTACGTGGATCCACATCCCATGGCCCAGGTGGAAAATGGCATGTGTGGCGGACCACAGCATGAAATCCCTGGGTAGTGTTGGTTATGTTCAGGCCTAAAGTGACCACCTGGCAACTGCCCTAGTTCACTACTGCAAGCTTAAAAACATCTCCCCGTCACAGAACTCTCAGCCCTCCTCAGCCCTGATTGCCTGGAAGTATTGACCATAGCCTCCAATAAGGTTCAGTTTTGTTATTTGGTGTTTGATTTGATTTGACTGTTCAGACCAATGTTGTTATTGCTGTGGATAAAGTAACAGGGAAAGAGAAAAACCAAACTCATTGGACAAAATGGTGAGTGTAGAAATGAAGAGATTTATTTTGTACAGACAGAGAAGCGTCCTCTGTAATGTTGCTGACATAAAGCACTTTGGGGGAAAAAGTGGAAATCTGTTTTCCATAAATCTCGCAGGCCCATGTACATTGTTCTATATACTCACGTAGAGAACCGAGCTGCATATATCATCCTGGATATGGGCCTGTTTGATGGTAGGGCACATCTGGTGCTTGTTCTCGTAAATCTTTTAAGGAATTAGGTACACTTTTTTCTATTAATATGTATAGTTTTGCGATTTGTCACAGTTATGTTTCATATAATCATAAGTTATTTTGTCTTGTTTCATGAAGTCCTTTTTTTATGTCAAAAGTAAAATGAAGGGATTGTGTACTTGGCACAGAATAAAACTGGAAATCGAGGCTGCCCCTCCTGCCTGAAAGTACTCCTTCCACGCCGTCTCCTTCCAACACAATGGCGACCAGTGTTGTTTGTTTGTTTGTTTTATTGTTCTGTTTTGTCCTGTCACCAGCCTCCTCTGTATTGGGGATGGTAATTATAATTAAAAGCAGATGGGGAGGGGGGGTCCGAGGCCAGCTTTAAAATGCCGCATCGCTTTGGGCCAGAACTGAAGCCTGGATTTAATTATAGATAGGAGGACGAAATGGCAGTAAAAATGAATGTCTCCCCGAATCCTTTACATGTTGGGAGTGTCCATAAATAAAACATGAAGTTTTATTTCATCACATTTAATTAAAGCTTTTATACATGTTTTATTGGTTATTCTATTAATCCACTTCCCAAACTGGATAAATGTGTGCGAGGGCTCGGAGCTTATTTGTGCTCTTTCAATGCCGCGCTACATCATGCTTCAGCAATGCCTCCAGGGCTTGCTACCCCAGGTGCTGGGCTCTCAGCGCGCTGGCAGGGGGAGGAGAGGCCTTTCAGGTCCATTTTCCTAAAACCTTTCAGGGAAGATACAGCACTGTCAGCTTCCAAGGGTTGGGATCAGAATCCCCGGTGCCCCCTGAGAACAGTGCTTCCTGCCGTGGTACTCTGCTCTTAGAAGGCCACCTAGTCCCTTGTTGTACTGTGTTTCCTTTATACCAGGGTTTGTTCTCAATCTGGGGGTCGCAATGTTCTACATATCAGATATTCACATTATGATTCATAACAGTAGCAAAAGTACAGTTGTGAAGTAGCAATGAAATAATTTTATAATGGGAGGGTCACCACAACATAAGGAACTATATTAACGGGTTGCAGCATTAGGAAGGTTGGGAACCCCTGCTCTGTACCCACGCATCAGGGAGAGTGGTCAGGGTGGTTTGACACCCACCAACCTACTAGCCAAGCACAGGCACTTACCAGGGTCACCATAGCAGCTGGGAAGGCTGGCACCTGCCCTCAGTTCTAACACGCAGGAGGCAAAGGCATGGTTATGAGTTTGAGGCCGTCCTAGGCTACGTGGACTTCTAAAATCCAAGGGAAATGATCCTTCCGAGGAGCATTTGTGCAAAGATTTTATTAAAGAGTCATTTTAAGGGACGCTAGACAATGGCAGGGTACCTTGCTGGGTTCCTTGAGGCCAGAGAGCGGGCACTGACTGGGTGAAGGAACTCCTCGGCTTCCTCAAGCAACAGCAGCTGTGGTTGTGGTTTGTTCCAACCCCCAAGGGGACGGCTTGGCAGTAAGGGGGAGAGGTGGTGGTAGGGAGATCCCATGTCCTAGCAAGGCCTTGCCTCTGCCAAGAGTCTGAAGCAAGGATACCTCAGAGGTAAGATGTTCACAGCAGTATTATTCACAATAGTTCCAAACTCGACACTGATAGGAAAATGAACCAACAAGCCTTGCCTGAATGATGTAGTGAACGAGATGCCACAGAGGGGGTGATAGGACCGGACTCCCACGCAGCAGCCTCACAAACCTGATGGAGAGAAGCACAAAATGACCACTCAGCGTGCCTTTATTAATGGCTACTTTAAAACAAGAAAAACTGAATTCAATGACATAGTTTAGGTGGTGGTGCTGCTAAGGGCAGCAAGGAAAACATTACCACGGAGTCCCGACTCTGGGAAGGGCTCTTGGGACACAGAGCTGCTGGGAGACGATGCTTCATCTCTGTCCACGCGCTAGGGTACCCAGGTGTTCGCTTTATAATTATTTTACTGTGCATATATATTTTACAGTTTTTACTTCAGATAACAGAACACCAAGTCTTTCATCCCCTCCTCCTGTGCTCTGCAGACTGCTTCTGCGAAGAGCCAGATGGTGCATATTTTATATGTGGAGGGCTACCTGGTCCCTTTTTCAACCGCTCTACCACTGTCCTTCAAAGCAGCTGTGGACAAGGCACAGATACACAGGCGTGGCAGCGTTCCCACAAAACTCCACTGATGGATGCAAATCTGAAACTTCCCCCTTGTTTCTTTTTAAATCCAACTATTTCAATTTTTTTCTAAGTATTCTTAATTCACATATTGTTCAAAAACAAGAGACAGTGGGCAGCAGGATTTGGCCCGTGGGCCACAGTATACTTCCCCTCCTCAACTGAAAGAGGGTCTCTAGCCCATCCCATAAATATCCACTCAAAGAAAGCTGCAGATAGGAACCATCTGATCATCCTTCTGCTACCTAGGGTCCTGTTCCTAGAGGGAATTCATGAGTTCTATTGATTGAGCTTTTCTTTGTTTAAATCTTGGGTTCTGCTCCCCGGGATACAGATGAATGCTGGGAGCCTGGAGTGCCATTCCACTTTATCTCTGGATTTAACGTTTTTAATAAAAGAAACTGGGCATACAGAAATCTGTGAGAACTGGAAAATGAGCGCCCATTCTTTCCAAGCTAACCAAATATTTGCTGGATCTTGGCAGCCATAGCCAATCTTTTTCCTCTGAAATGCTGAGAGGTTATAAGGAATGGATGCCTTCATTTTTCTCAGGCCACAGTGCTTATGAGAAACTGGAACCGCCTCAAAACCTGCAAGGGGTAAGAGGGAAAGGTGCTGGCGAGGGAGGGGGGTGCAGCCTGGTGGTAAGACAACACGCTGGCACAAATAAGACCCTACCTTCCATCAATAGGAAACCATTGTATCTGAGTCGGGAGTACTGACAGTTGGCTTGCTCCAGGTAGATTGAGAGTAGATGAATTCCTCACCCTGCCCCGCAACACCCAGGACCCTCTGTTTTCCCATAATGCCTAATTACAGAATATTCTAATTCCAGAATATACATCCAGTCACAGTAAATTTACACAGGCAAATGTGGATGTTTCTCTTTGTGTCTCTAGCCTAGGCAAACTTGGTGCTTTACAAAACTATGAGTCTTAAGAATCTTGAGTCATTTATTTAATATCAGCCTGGACTAAATCCTCATTGGCAGGTTTCGTGTGCTTGAGGTTGCATATTGTGTGCTGCTGAGATTCTGGTATATGGGGGCAAAATAACTCAGTTTTCATTGTTGAATGAAAAATATAGGCAGGGGAAAGTTGAAAGAGCTGCTGATCAGCTCATTTTACAGAAGAGGAAACAGGTAATTTCACTCATTTATTCATGTGTTCATTTTTGTTTGGTTGGTTGGTTTGGGTTTGGGTTTTTCAAGACAGGCTTTCTCTGTGCAGCCTTAGCTGTCCTGGAACTTACTCTGTAGACCAGGCTGGCCCTGGAACTCACAGAGACGTGCCTGCCTGAGCCTCCCAAGTGCTGGGATTAAAGGCTTGAGCCACCACCACCTGGCTTGTGTGTTCATTCATTCTTTGATTGTATACCAAATGTATATAAAATGAGGTAGCTCATCTTCAAAGAACTAACGATCATAAGAATCAGCCATAGAAAATACTGCCCGGGGTTGTTGTTTTCTTTTTTTTTAACCCATGTTTTATGGGACCAGCAAGACTGATAATTGCAGTCAATACCTGAATATGCATGGTAGAAAGAGAGGACTCCAAAGAATTGTCACTTGACCTCCACAGGTACACTGTGACACACCCCACACACAAGCAAACTCAGGAAATAAAATTAATGTAGTATTTTAAGTAATAGGAAAAATGTGCATTTTAGAAGCACCAAATACATAGCACAGAGCTGAGTAGAAATTCTAGCAAGTTGAAGGTACCCAAATGTTTAATAAGTTCTCCAGGTGGCTGCTTGTGCAGACTACAGTTGACTGCTCTGACATGGTGGAGGCAGAGTACTTAAGAGAAACTGGAGAGCTCACAGAAGGGGGGCACCTAATTCCTGCCTAGGAAAGAAGACAGAGTTGGAATTGCCTGTGAGAAGTAGGGGGTGTGGGAACTAGTCCTGAAGGATGAACAGGCCTTCAGCTGGGGAGGGAAGTTACTCAGCATGCTACCTGGAAGGATGGAGACAGCCCCTTCTCTGCTCAGAACAATTCTTCCAAGACTCCTGGCCCACAGCTACAGCCCTTTCCATGGCAGCCTGCTGGACTCGGGGAGCTGTCTCCCCTACCAGCATCAGGTCCCACTTATTCTACAAAAATGAGATCACTATGGAATTTAGAGATGATGGATCATGGTCGCTTTGACCTGTCTTCAGGACCACTCAAAGGCTTCACTTCAGTAAATGTGCACTGTGACTGTCCAAGAGAGAATACGGACATCACACACAGTTTGTAAACCAAGAAAGCAACCTTTCCCCCAGAAAACGACTTGTTATTACGGTGGAAACAGTTTAGTGGTTCCTTTAACAAGTCAAGCTCATCTTTACCCTATGACTCAGCACTTCCACTCTTCCTGTGACTCAGCACTTCCACTCTTCCTGTGACTCAGCACTATGACTCAGCACTTCCACTCTTCCTATGACTTAGCACTTCCACTCTTAAGTCAAAAGGATTGAAATCAGGGACTCAGTAGCATCCATGCACAGAAGAGGATGGTTTGCTCAATGGCAGGCCCCATGCCCAAGGGTAGTCTCATGAGGTTGAAATGAAACTCACAGACTCCCATTGCCTAGTTTGCTGTGGCCAGCTGAGGTCATAGTGCAAGAGTTACCCACCAGTTTGTGGTGATGCTAATGTAAATAAACCCATCAAATAACAGCATAGCGCATCTCATCATGCAGCATAAATTATACTGGATAATGAATGACTACTTGTTTATGTATTTGCTATATTTCCTATTGTTTTAGAGTGTATACTTTATACTTATTTTAAATTTGACTATAAATCTGCTGTTTCTGTGGCAGTGATCTCATGCGACCAATGTGTCTCTTGATTGCATCCCAAGGCCATGTGAAATGACTGACCTTTACCATCTAGGTCTGTGTAAGTGCATTCTGTGATGCTGGCACAAGGTCAGATGCACCTACCTGCAGTTCTCAGAGGACATCATCATCATTAATGGTGCATGACTGTATGTATACTAATGTTCATGGTAGCCTTATGCAGAAGATAGAAAAGGTGAAAA